TTCGACCTCGGGTATTAGGGTCGGTGTAAATTTGGCCCCAAAATCTCCAAAAATTTGAGATTTAATGGCGGTCCGAGGTCGATATTCAGTATCGTACCCGCTGATCTCCACGACCCATTTGGCCAATCATACTGAGAGCTCGAGTTTATGCATTATATTTCGCAATGGGTAAGTAGTCACAACACATATAGGATGACACTAAAAATATAGTTTCAGCTTCCTAGAGGCGCTTAGCAAAGCGAGCGCCAATTTTCTAGGTGAGGGTACCTAGTTTCGGCCTCATCTAGAGTCCTGCTAACATAGTAAATTGGAAATTAGGTACCTTGCTCTTCTCGGATCAAGACTCCACTTACCGCTATCTCCGATACTGCCAAGTACATGTATAGTTATTCATCTGTCTTCGACGTGTGAAGCAGCGGTGGGCTTGATAGATATCGCATGAGTTCCTCCAAGGCCTGTTGGCACTCCGGGGTCCATGAGAAGTTATTATTCTTCTTCTTCAGTAGTCAGAAAAATCGATGGCTCTTATCGGAGGACCTCGAGATGAATCGTCCCAAGGCGGCTATGTCCGGTTAATCTTTGCAAGACCTTCACGTTGTCCACAACCGTTATATCTTTGATGGATTTGATCTTGTTGGGGTTGATCTCGGTTCCCCGGTTGGAAACCATGAATCCGAGGAATTTACCTGATCCGACTCCAAACGCATATTTCTCCGGGTTCAGCTTCATATTGTACTTTTTCAATATGCTGAAAGTTTCCTGCAAATGTTTTAAATGGTCCTCTGCTCGCAGGGACATAACCAACTTATCGTCAATGTAAACCTCCATTGATTTTCCTATTTGTTCCTCGAACATCTGGTTTACTAGGCGTTGATAAGTGGTACCAGTATTTTTTTAATCCGAATGGCATCACATTATAGCAGTATGTGTCGTACTTAGTGATGAATGAGGTTTTTTCCTGATTACCCGGGTTCATCTGTATTTGGTTATACCCGTAGTAGGCATCGAGAAAACTGAGGATCTCGTGGCCGGCCATGGCATTGATCATGCGATCGATGTTGGGCAAAGGGAAGGAGTCCTTGTGACATGTCTTATTCAAATTCTTATAGTCTACACACGTTCTTAATGTATTCCCTTTTTTTGGGGACTACCACTACGTTTGCTAACCAATCCGGGTATTTAACCTTCCAAATGGACCCACCCTATTTTAAGGAGTTTAGATACCTCGTCCTTTTAGAAAGCATGTTTGACCTCAGACTGGGGTCTCCTTTTCTGCTTGACCAGGTAGAACTTCGGGTCCAGGCTTAACTTATGGGTGGTTATCTCTGGCGGGATCCCTGTCACATCAAGGTGGAACCAAGCGAAGCAATCTTCGTTACCTATAATAAATTTAATGAGTTTTTTCCTAAGCTCGGGGCTTAACCCCGTGCCCAGGTATACCTTTCGATCAGGCAAGTGTCCGGTTTGTAGGACTTGTTCCAGTTCCTCGACCGTTGATTTTGTAGTGTCAGAATCGTCGGGGGCTATGAAAGATCTGGGAGCTCCGTAGTCGTCATCCTCGTCTACCCCTCGTTCCTCTGACTCTGTCGAGGCTGGTATCGATGATTTCTATTTGGCCCCGTCTTTAACGATCCGATTCGATCGTTCGATGTTGAGAGTGTGGATGCCGCGATCACTTCATCGACCGCGAAAATCTCCTTGGTGGACGGTTGTTCCCGATAAACTATTTTGACTCCTTCGGGTGTTGGGAATTTCAGTACCTGGTGCAGCATCGAGGGTATTGCTCTCATGTTGTAAATTCATGGCCTCTTGAATAGAGCGTTGTATCTCGTATCCCCTTCGATTACATAGAACTTGGCTTCCTGTACGGTTCTGGCAATGTTTACCGGTAATGTTATCTCCCCTTTAGTGGTCTCACATGCCATGTTGAACCCGTTCAGGACTTGGTTTGCAGGTATGATCTGATCTTATAGGCCGAGTTGTTACGCGACCCTTGATCTGATGATGTTGGATAAGCTACCTGGATCAATTAACACACGCTTAATTCGAGATTTATTTATGAGAACCGATATTACCAGTGCATCATTGTGGGGTTGCACGATCCCCTCAGCGTCTTCGTTGTTGAAAGACAAGGTTCCTTCCGGTACGTAATACCGAGTTCGTTTTTCCCTTGTGATGGATAATTTGGTGCGTTTCAGCATCGGACCCTAGGGAATGTCGACTCCACCGTAATCATGTTGGTGACATGTTGAGGCTCTTCCTACTCGGTCTGCTTATTAGAGTCCCTGTTCCTGAAGTATTTCTTGGCCCGATCACTCAGGCATTCTCGGAGATGTCTGTTGTTGAACAATCGGGCCACCTCTTCTTTTAATTGTCGACAGTCTTCTATTCTATGGCCATGAGTGCCGTGATATTTGCACATTAGGTTGGGATCCCTCTGGGCTGGATCAGACAATAAGGTCTATGACATTTGGTATCTTTGATGCGTCCGATGGTAGATACGATAGAGGCGGCAACGACGTTGAAGTTGTACTCCTATAATCTTGGCGCTTCTTTAGGCCCGACGGTCTTGTCGAAGCTATTTTTTCTCATGATTCCCCTGTTGCTCTAGCCTCGATCACTTCTCTATTCATTTTGCATAGAGTTTCGCCCGGACCCGCTACTTCTTCGGTCTCCACTATACGGCTAATTCTGATCCCTGTTCGATCTCAGTTCACGGTTGATGTCTATCTTAACTCTGTCGATGGTTCTGACATGGTACATGGACCCGAAGGGGCCTCAACCTGATCAACGTCGCCATGATTTTCGATTGATATCAGTTATGGACATTGGCCCAAGTGATGGCCGGAAGTTCTTCCAGGTTTTATTTCAACTACTGTGAGGCCAACGAGCTTCGAATGTTGAGTCATGGGTGAAATCCTAAACGTCCCAATCATCAGCGACCGGTGGCTGATCTATCGTTTCCATTTGAAACTAGGACACGAACTCTCGGAGCATCTCATTATCCTTCTATTTTACTTTGAAAAGGTCCGACTTCCTAGTCTCGACCTTGATAGCCCCAACATGTGCTTTCACGAAAGAATCTGCAAGCATAGCAAATGAGTGAATAAAATTAGGAGGTAAGTTATGATACCATATCATATCTCCTTTTGACAGGGTCTCTCCGAACTTCTTCAACAAGACAGAATCGATCTCATTATCCTCCAAGTCGTTCCCTTTGATGACACATATGTAGGAGGTAACATGCTCGTTTGGGTTGGTCGTTCCATTGTACTTAGAAATCTCAGGCATACGAAACTTCTTATGGATCGGCTTTGGAGCCGTGCAAGGCTTTTGCACAAACTTCTTGGAATCCAGGCCTTTCAGTATCGGCGGTGCTCCCGGGATTTGGTCGACCCTGGAATTGTAAGTTTCTACCTTTTTGTCATTAGCTTCGATTTTCTTCTCCCCTAATTCTACCCGTTTTGTCAGTTCCTCGAGCATCTTTATGATCTCAGGGTTAGTCCTTGATTCATTTTCATCCGACCTCTCTACGATTTCCCAGGATGGATCGGGTTGAATTCTGCTCGGTGCGGGGCTTTGGTTCTGTAACTGAGCTATCACCGCATGTTGAGCCTGTAACATTTCGAATATCATCCATAAATTAATCCCATCTCATCCAATATTTATGTATTTTGAGCTGTCGATCGGGCACCACCACGAACACTATTCTCGAGGTCGGTAGACAGATTTGTTTCGATAGCCACATGCGAGTTAGCATCATTCGGATCCACGACCGAATTCCGATGGGATCGACCGGCGGTACCCTGTCACTGGGCACTATGTTGTTATTTTCACCGTGATGGCTAGACTCATTGTCAACATGTATGGGTGTTGATTGTGAGTTTGACATTTTGAGCTTTAACCTGAAATTAGAGGCACTTCAAAGAACAAGTGTAAAGTAGTGTGTGTTATAGAAATTTGTATCAAATAACCACTATTATCCTTAGCCCTATGGTGGCCGCCAAACTGTTTACCCTCAAATTGGATAACAATTGAATTTGTAAGTGGTTTTAAGGATATGCAGATTAACTTGACACAAAGTAATAAATTAAGTTGCAATTGAAATAAACAATGATAAAGTAAATTCAAACCACACGAATTGAACACTTACAGTTTTGGGAGGTCAGTCACACTTGAATTGGATGCCCTTCGATCAGTATCAAAATACAATAGAATAAGAGCTTAAAGAGAAAAAATAACAATGTATTGCTTTTGAGTGCGTGTTACAATGTGTTAAATGAATTATCAGACCGCCTTTATATAGTAGAGGAGTCCTAGTTTAGGTACAATTCTATAAAAGGTAAAAAATTTCTTGATTTACTGATTGTCAGTTCCTTGTTGATACGTGCTGATTTTTCCACCGTAATATCCGATCGGTCACGGATATTTCGTTCTTCTGTTGGCTAGGCTAACAATGTTCCTTCGAGCTCGTTCGAGGCTAGGATCGATTCCGGGATCACGGCCTCGATATTCTCGAAGGCAGGCGTTCTGGCCTCGGGTTTTAGCTCGGTGAGACTTGATGTGGATCTTCAGTCCTTTATTGCCATGTTTCGAGCCTGGCCTACCATGTCGCAGGCGAGCTCGATTTTGATCGTATACAATAGTGCTAGCTAAATATGATCAACATTCAACATTTTTAAAGCTTACACCTTCTAAAAAATTGCTATAATGCAAACTCATTATTTAATATGATTTATGTAATTTTATAAAATTATATATTAACTGACATGGATACAGGTCCAAAGTGCGTACCCTAAAACTAGTATTAGTAACATTGAATCCAATGATTGTACCCCAAAAAACCCAATGAAAAGAAAAGAAAAACAAGAAAAAATAAAAAAGAAAAGAAAGGACAACCAAATGGTAGTTGACAATATGTTCTTTAGCTCGCCCTCTAGAGTCTCCCTTGAGAAAAGGGCACCAATGTAATTGCAGAAGCAGCTTCTGTATATATATATAGACATCTCCTAGGGTTTTACTTGACCCAATAGAGCAAGGCATTTTTTCTCCTCTTCGGCCGTCGTAGCAATTTGCCCTTTGTGCTCGCTCGTCTGCTCCTATCAAGGTTTTAGCCTTCTCCGTTTTCCCAAAAACTCTTTTAGGATTCTTCGTATTTTTGTAATTCCCAAGCTGTTCTCCATGAATTTTCTGTTTCTGGTTTGTGGTTTAACATGTTCAACGTGTTAGTAGTTTCACCAATCTCTGTTAGTTCTGTTCAAATGCGTACTGTGACTCAATCTGTTCTTCAAATTTTGTATCTTTTCCATGTTGATTGCAGAAAACTCTTAATTGGATTTCTGTTTAATCTTCTATCCATGCTCAGATTTTTTTAGTTTTGACAATCTGTTTGTATCATTGAAGTTAGAAATCTATTCGTTTTGTGTGGCTATCGTTGGTTATATAGATTAATATGATGGCGTGGCTATGTCAAATCTGAAATTAATTTCTCTGAATTAATGTTTTAGCACAACATTTTGGCCCTTTCTGCTAATTATTTCATTATAATATTTGATCCATCCGAGGTTTTATCCTTGATATACCTATTGTTTTTGTCGTTTAAGTTGCTGATAGTTTAAAGATTGTTTACACTATTACTAGTTTGAGAACCTGTGATTGCAGGTTTACAATTTTTTTTAAACACCAAAATATGTGTATAAAGAGATTTGCCTAGAATTACCTGACGAATGACTTAATTGTGTACTGTTAGTGCATATAACTTAAACACTGTTGACAAATGTGAAAATAGTATTATGCGATTTGCAGGATGGAATCTGCCACAAAGCATGCTATTGTGGTGAAAGTGATGGGTCGTACTGGATCCAGAGGACAGGTAACTCAGGTGAGAGTCAAGTTTCTTGATGACCAGAACAGGTTTATCATGAGAAACGTCAAGGGGCCTGTCAGAGAGGGTGATGTTTTGACATTGTTGGAGTCTGAGAGAGAGGCTAGAAGGTTGCGTTGAAGGGGCACATTTTTGAATTCCATATGGATCTGGTTTGAGTATTATACTGTCCTAAATTTTGTTATAGTCTTTAATGTTATGTTTTGTTTTTGCAAGACTTGGTTAATTGTGGACAAGTATTTTAGTGCCAAGCTCAGTTGTTTTGGTGATGTTTGTAACCCATGACGGTTGAGTAATTTTGGTGGTATTGCAAGTTTTGGTAATATTTTATGATCATTCGTAGCTGGCTTTTGCTCTCTATATCTTAACTTGGTCTAACTTGTCAGCATGCTGGTCAGATAACCCTCTATTGTTGCTAAGACCATTTCGCATTTCTTATTCTCTATTTTGACTTCCTTTGTTTTACTAGAGTGTAAGTTCTTGAGCATTGGCGGGCGCAACATTATAGTAGAAAGCTAGGGAAACGAAGATAGGAAGTACTTTCTAGGAAGTGAAATGGTAAGAATGGGAGAGGGAAGTCTCCATTTGTAATGAAAAGAGCAAGTATAGGATCCTTTCTTCTAGGGGAAGGAGGATGGTTGCTTTTTGGACCGGACAATATGTTCCAACAGAAGCAGAGAAATATATGGAAAGCATTTGCTTATGTGTTTGCTCTAGTTGGGAGGTCCAAGATTGGTGTGTTCATTGGCGCACCTTCTGTTTTCTTGATTGCCAATTTTTAGGAAGCGTCATGGTCATCCAATTTCTTTCTCATTGATCTTTAAAGTTGTGCCTTAGAATCCTTGATTGGCCATTTTTCGTTTGGTTGCTTGTGAAACTTGATTAATTCCTCTTGTAATCCATAACCTCATTTGGAACATTAACAAAAAACAGCTGATGTGAGTTGCTGGTGCATCTTCACATCCTCTTGCTCGAAATTTCATCACAACCAATATATATATATATATATATATGGTTTCTTGTCTTTGCCCTTAGAAGTCAGCATTCTAACCATGCTTGGATGGTATTTATCTTTGCTTTATATCCTTTTAGAGTCATAGCCTTTTATTTGGGACTTTTACAATGTTTAGTACTACTAGTAGACTGTGTAACAAGTATCTTATTATCATTTCATGTTTTGTGTTAAGAATAGTTCGCAGTTGAGTAGCGAGAGAAAATAATGTGCCACTCGGTATCTTTTGCCCTTACATATAGCCTCTAAAATTCAAGTGATAGTCCTATGGAGTTCAGATGAAGTATTTGAAGCTATTTACTTGTATCTCCAAACATATGCAACTGCTAAATGAAGCTTTCATTTTCCTTCAACCCTTGAAACATGACACATGTGCAAGGATGAAGACGCTACAAAACAAGTATTTAACGTTTAAGCGTATATTTTCGGAAAGCAATTCAATGGACTTGGACAATTTGAAAATAGAATTTGGCAAGAATCATCTTCATAAAGAATTTTTCGAACTTCTAAATTGTAATGATTAAATAAATTAACGAGGATCATCTGAAATTTAGAATAACAGTAGTTCATATACCCCCAAATGCCTTAGATGAAGGACCGGAAATCCAACAGAAATTATCCTTTCCGAAAAGGTCGTAATCAATAGCCCTACATTTCATCATCTCCATGGAACGAAGTCAAAAGAGATGATCCATCAGGGAGGACTCAGTTCCATTTCTACGCTTGTTTTGAATTAGCCAGTGAAAGAGGGAAGGTTTCTATGAAGAAGTGGTCAGATGAAAAACTTTACACCTCTCAAACTCAAGATTCTAGCTTATCAATACCAATTTCACACAATTCGGTGTAGTTCTTATTTCTTTTGCAACTAGAGTATCTATTTTCCTGACTTGTTATTTGTTATTATCGTTGTTCGGAAAAGTAGACGTAATTTTCCAGAGTAAACAGTAACGTTAATTAAATATTCTGACCCATATAATTCACTGTGTGTCCTTAAGAAATTTAATCCCGTACATTTCCCATTCATAGCTCAATAAAACCCAACAATTCCTGACATGAATGGGGAATGACCATATGTTTAAAAATATGTAAAAATAACTGGTAATTCGTAATTAATAATTAATTACATCTGAATAAGTAAGTTTCTATTTGAACTTACGTAGTGACCACATGTCAGACATACTCGATCAATCGGTATATGCAATATCCTTGAACCGTCGATATTTGGTACATACCTAGACAACATAAGTCACATAACTAATTATTGACCGTCTTTGGTGCTCATGTTGTGTTCGTTTTAGCCATGAACACAGCTTGATTTTATGAGTGCATAAATATCTATGCTTACAATCATTCTCCTTGAAGCAGCTTATACTTTACCCTCACGTAGAAGATTCCTAAACGTGTAACCTGTAGATACACTATTTGCTTATGCCATATCAAACTTAAAAACTATTAAAAAGCCATAATGAACATTGTCTTATCATGTGAACCGGTTGAGGTTTTCGACAATGTTGAACCGTTATTCATTATACTTTGTATGTTCTCTTTGAATCTAGATCTTGGGATATCCAGTCACTTAGGTAGAGTTACTGGTCATGATGCCTTGTCCTCGGTCATAGTCTCATTCCCCTTGATGATCATTCAACCACCTCTATAATTAGGGCTTTTTATAAGTGGATCCAACACATTGTGGTTTAACTTTATGTAGTTAATTATAATAATTTCACTAGAGAGTAGTTGTCTAACGGTGTTATGTCTTTGCCGTATATGACGAGAATTCTCGTTATACATAACGCTCCCAAGTCCTTCCACTGCCACTTGACTATCTTAATGTATTAATATGGGTGCAAATTTGGCCAAAATAAAATATCTTCAAAGATATTTCAGAGCTGTTGTGCTTCTTCACCGACCTTGTCTAAAGTTATAAAGCTAGACTCCATTGTGGCGGACGATGCACGTCTATTTGAATAACTTTCAAGACACTGCTCCTCCACCAATAGTAAAAATATATCCACTTATTGATTTAGTTTCAGTCGATCCAGCAATCCAATTTGCCTTACTATACCCTTCAATAACCGCGCCATACGTATTGTAGTGCAAAGCAAAGCTTTGGGTGTGTTTCAAATATTTCAAAACTCATTTCATTGTCATCTAATGAATTTGGTTGAGATTACTCTGAATCGACTTAGTTTACTTATCGTACAAGTTATATTTGATTGTGTGGAATTCATGACATACATCAAACATATTAATACTTGGGCATAATCTAAGTAAGACTTACTTTGACCTTATTCTTTGGAAGAGGAAGTTTAAATCAATTGGAGTCTTTGCAACATTAAAATCCAAAATACTTGAACTTAACTAGTACTATTTTAATGTAATGAAATTGAGACAATGCTAGAGCTAGAAGAGTCTTGTAACGTTCCGACCGGTCATTTTGAGCATTAGCTTTCTATTCAGCTATTTGAAGTCTTTAGCAGCTTCATATGATGTATTATGACTTGTGTGAATCGTCGGTTTTGGCTTGCAGGTTATTCAAAATTGATTTGGAAGAATGATTCTCAACTAGGAAGTTTTAAGTTGGAACAGTTGACCAAGTTTGACTTTTGTGTATTTGACCTCGGATAGGAGTTTTGATGGTTCTGTTAGGTCTGGATGGTAATTTTAGACATGGACGTATGCCTGAATTTGTATTTGGATGTTCCTAGAAGGTTTCGGCACTATTTGGCGAACCTTGGTAATTTGAAGGTTTGGAATATTTATAACTTTGACCGGGAGTTGAATTTGATGATATCGGGTTCGGAGTATGGTTTCATTAATTGAAATAGATTCGTTATGTCAATTGATACTTGTGTGCAAAGTTTGAGTTCATTCCGAGTTGATTTGATAAGTTCGACACGAGTTTTTGAAGTTGAAAGATTCAAAATTCATCAAGTTCGATTTGAGGCGAGATTCGTGATTTTGATGTTGTTATACGCGATTTGAGGCCTCGAGTAGGTCCGTGTTATGTTATGGTACTTGTTGGAATGTTCGGACAGGGTCCCGAGGGTCTCGAGCGTGATTCAGATTTATTTCGGGCCATTTTTCTTCATATTTGCATTGTTGGTTTCTGCTGATGTCTGGTGCACCAAATGTTCTTCGTGATAGCGAAGTTGGAGGTGCGATTGCGTAGAGGAAAATCTAGATCTGGGCAGTTTCTTAACCACGGTCGCTATTGGAAGACCCGTTCGCGTAGATTTGTTTGTAGTGCGTGTTCGCATAAGAGTCATCGCGTTCGCATAGAGCTGAGTTGAGAGCTGGGAGCTGGAAGATTCTTCAACCCGCTCGCGTAAGATGGGACGCGTTCGTGAAGGTTGGGCGCCTGTGTGCTTCGCGTTCGCATTGTTAGTGTCGCAAATCCGTAGAGCTTTTGGGTGGCAGTGGCACTTGTTCTCCCCGATCACGAAGGTTGTTCCGCGATCGCGATGAGTATCCCTGGGCAGTGAATATAAAGTACTCTATCTCGGAGGTTTCGGCCATTTTAGCATATTTGGAGCTCTGGAGCTCGAATTGAGACGAGTTTTGAGGCGATTTTCACCATATGGATAGGGGTAAGTTTTCTCTACTCAGTTTTGATTATATTTCATGAATCTATCTTCGTTTTTGGCATTTGATTGCTGATTTCAAGAGAGAAATTCGGGGGGGGGGGGTTGTCTAAAATTTCATAAAGTGAAATTTTGAGTTTTGAACATCGATTCGGAGTCGGATTTGAGTGAAACTAGCATGGTTAGATCGTATTTGAATGGGTTGTTAGATTTTGTGTGTTTTGTCGGGTTCCGAGGTACGTGCTCAGGTTTGACTTTTTGGCTGACTTTGGGCTTTTGATTAGAGATTCCACCTCTATTGATTGGGTTTGCTTCATTTGGCATCATTTTGATGTTCTTGAGTTGCTTTTTGCTTGTTTTGAGCCGTTCGTAGGTCGGTACATATGGGGTGGCATTTCTAGAGTACTGTTGGCTTGCTCGGTATTGGATTTGGCTTCTTCGAGGTAAGTAACACTTCTAAACTTGGTGCTGAGGTATGAATCCCTGAATAAACGTGTCATGTGTTTGGTGTTGAGGTGACGCACATGCTAGGTGACTGGTGCGTAGGCGTGCACCGTGTGAATTATGACTCGATTGTATCTGTGGTACTGTGTAGTGACCTAATCTTGCTTCTATCCATGAAATTTCTACGTGCTAGAGTAATTAAGCTGTGATCCATCTTAGAAACCATGTTTAGGCTATATGCTTATTCTGTTGGAACCCACCGAGGTCATTTCTGCTGTTGAGTTATTTGCTTAAATTAAAAT